CATCATATGCGATCTGCAAGCATATGCGATCCGCAAACAGATGCAGTCTGCAAGTATATGCGATCTGCGCCATATATGCAATCTGCAAGCATATGCAATCTGCAAGCATATGCGATCTGCAAGCATATGCAATATGCAAGCCTTTGCAATATGCAAGCATTTGGAATATGCAAGCATTTGGAATATGCAAACATGCGCAATATGCAAGCATGCGCAATATGCAAGGATATTGCATATGCAAGCATGGGCAATATGCAATATGCAAGGATATTGCATATGCAAGCATTTGCAATATGCAAGCATTTGCAATCCGGATGCACCCGAACGTGTCCGGACCCGGACGAGAGCTACGGCACCCTCGGGACCGCAGGGACCGCGCCTCGTCGCGTCCGTGACCGGCTCGCGTCCGGGGCTCGTTGGAAAGTCGCGCTCGATTGGATGGTTCCGGAGCTTTGCGTTTTCGTTAGCGCGCACCCTCTTCACAATCAGAGGTCGCGGGTTCGAGTCGCACTCCGCGAGTTTCGAGTTGCACACCGAAACGCGAGGATGCGAGGACGACAGGTCGCGGGTTCGAATCACGGGTCGCACACGAGTTGCAGGCGAGGATGCTAGGACACGAGGACACCAGGACGTGAGGACGCGAGGATGCAAGGGCACATGGACGCGTGAGCGTGTGGGCATGTGGGTGCATGGGACGGTGGCACCGTGGATGTAGCCACACGTGGATGTAGCATGGACGCGTGGACGCGGGACATGAGGATGTAACATGGGCGTGTGCATGAAGCTTGGACGCGTGCATGTGTACCGTGAACATGTGGGCGGGGACACACGGATACTGGGCCGTCAGGCCATGGGGACGACTGGGCACGTGGTGGGTAACGAACAACAGACGCACGTAGTTGTGTTGTTTGACATGAACTTGCAAGGTTAAACGTTTATCACAAAATATCAGGATAACCGGGGACGCCTGGGCGTGGCTGTGGGTAGTTCCATGTAGTTCCACTGTGGGACAGGACTTGCAGTGGAAAACTAGACTACAATGGCTCCGCCACGAAATGACGTGAAGTCGCGCACACCGCAACGTTCCCCGGGATAAATTCAGTCGCAGAAATTCTATAGAATCATACGGATTCAGAAAACATTCTATCAACCAGTGATGCTGCGCAGCACAGTTATTGTATAGAAGTAATGTGTGCCATTGGCCCTCGAGTGCATTTATTAATTTTGTCAAACGGATCCAGGATAAAATTTATCATACGGATTCAGGATACAATTCTACCAAACAGCGGTACTGCGCAACATACATCCATATTGTATCGATGTACTGTGTTCCATTGGCCCTCAACTGCATTTCTTGAGGATAGGAGGATAACCTGTCGCGACATCAGTCTGACCGGCCATTTCTATGGACAATTCTGGTTCCGGTAAGGAGTCCTGGTTGGGACTGGTGCCCGTGATGTTGCTCCATCTCCTGCATGGGCGGTAGACTAGTAATCCTCTTCCTGACATCACGCAGGATGTCGGCGGTTAGGTACAGTTGCAGGTGGAGGCTTGTGGCTTCTGAGCTTGACGGGGCGGACTCAAGCCACACCTTCCCCCCCGACACCCCAGCTGTCCAGTGCGGATGCAACCAGAAAGGTGCAGGCGCAAGCCAACCGGACGCCTGAGCAAGTGGCGGTGGATCGAGCAGCAGCTGCAGCGTGATGGGCAGATGCACGAGCCAACCAGACACCTGAGCAAGTGGTGGCGGACCAAGCAGCAGCTACTGCTCGGTGGGCGTGGTGGTCGGAGGCGCGAGCCAACCGAACGCCTGAGCAAGTGGCGGCAGACCAAACAGTGGACGCAGCTTGGAAGCGTCAAGCCCATGCGATTTGGCAACAGTCATCTGAGGAGCACACACCACAATGCACCCACCGCAGCAGGGGTATCCTTGTGGAGGCAGTTTTGGATGCTGCCTTCTGGGTGTTCAGGCGGCCGACAAACCCCACCAAGCCTCGTATGGGTGCCTGGTTAGACAGCAGTACAGCTTCATGGCCGGAACATGTGCAAGATGTTCCTGTGGGTCAGCCTCTGCCCACTGTTTCTCTAGCAGAACAGATCCGAGTCACCGAACAGCTTGATGCCGCTGTCAAACACAACATGCCATCATGTGTCTGCGCCTTGCTGCAGCGAGATGAAGTCTGCGGTACAGGCACACGGCTACTGGTTTGTTGACATCCCCAACGTGCACCAGTTGCGTGCAGATGTTTGGAGGACGCTGGCAGTGGCGCGTCCAGCTCAAGTCTTCACATGGCTACCAGTGGCAGCCGCACCAGGGGGCAGAACACCACCACTGCCTGAGCCAGCTTTGCTGTGGGGCTTCCAAAAAGACGTGGCTCAATGGGCATTCTACGGAGAAGATAGGGCTCACCAAGCGTCCTGGTACGACAGGGTACTCTGGTGGTTCGGATGACCAAGAGCACCACC